AATGTTTTTAGTTCTGGGGATTGAACACAGGGGTGTCTTACCACTGAGCTATATCCCAACCCTTTTTATTTTTTGAGACAGGGTCTCTGTTGCTTAGGGTCTTGCTGAATTGCTGAGGCTGGCCTCAAATTTGCAGTCTTCCTGCCTCAGCCTCCTGAGTCACTGGGGTTACAGGCATGCATCACAGCACCTGGCTCAACTCCATGTTTGTCTCTCCCAGCTTTATTCCTTTGGGGTGGAAACTGGAAAACTCAGGTTAGCTTGTTTGCCAAACATACAAGGCACCGTCTTTATATCATTGCAGAACATGTAACAGATGTCTGATGAAAATGGACCATCACCATCCTTGGATCAATAACTGTTGTGGTTACCAAAATCATGCTTTGTTCATACTTTTTTTTCTTTGAGCACCACTGTGTTTTATTCATGCTGCTTTCATTTTTGTTATGACTGTGTACATTCAACTTATAATTGGCTGTCCTTTGAGTGGAACACAGTAAAGATTGATATGAGTGCAGCCCAGACAGAGAGATCCTCTTCCAGTTGTTCCCTTCGAATTAGTTGCATTTGCTGCCACCTTGTTTGCCTTGAGATTAACTTTAGAAACAACCATAGCTATTAGGATTGTGGTTTTTATCCACGTGAAAACAAAAAATCAGAAACAAAACATTTTGAATCATGGACTGAAGAAAAGGCTAAAGATCAAATTCAATATTACCAACTAGATGCAGTCTTTTGTTTTCCCCTATGATGTGGAAAGTAGTTGGAAGAACTTTAAAAAGGTATTTACATAGTCAAGGGTCCCAGAAAATGAATTGGAGTAGCCAATAAGAGAAGACTGTTGCCACTACAGTTTAATAATAGAACAGTGGAAACAAAAAGTGTATGAGAGGGTCAGAAGTGTTTGCTATAAAGTCATAGAAGATTATAGTCATGCCTACTGTCCATTGAATAAAGGAAACAAAATCATCGCAATCTTTTACACTGAAAACCCTCAAATACAGCTACAAAAAAAAGGGAATTCGTTTTAGCCACAAGAGGGTTATGATGCTGCTTATGTGGAGACAAAATTCTGGGTGATTCCTTTGTAGATGTTCCAAGAATAAGAGGATGGTTCCCTAGAAACCATGTGGAAAAGTGTCCCTGTCATGCTGAAGCAGATCTAGCCCCAGAGGGCAAGAAGAAAAACAATATAGCCACTGTTAAAATGAAATTATTCTTTACATTTACTTCAACTTGAAAATTGTACTTATTACTAAAAACTATGCAATGAGCCTACTCTGTTTAAGGTATTCTTTTCCTCAGAGGTTCCCTGGTGCCATGATTTAAATATTTTTATTACCATTTTGAAATGGAGAATCCATTCTACATATGCCTTTGAATTCTTGCCTCTTTACCACTTCTTCTTTCTTCTTCCTCCTAAAAGGAAAAACATTTCACTCAAGTAAGCTAATTGTGTTTTATCTAGGTGTGTGTCATTGGTTGGTTGGTTTTAAATGTGCTACACATTCTGGACTTCACCTGCAGATTGAGTTCCCCTTTTACCAGAAGCATGTGATAATTTTGTTTGCCCCTCAGTTGGTATTTCTTATGTAATATTATAGATACTTAAAGAACTTCATTTGTCAAATTCATGATAAGCTCAATTTTTGTTACCTATCTTTCAATAATGTGGATTCTGTCAAATCAAAGATCAGTGGGTATTCTCTATTTTAAAAATTCTATCTTTTTTAATGTTAGGCATTTTAATTATAATGTGATATGGAGAAGTTCATTTTTGATCTTGTCTCTTTGGGGTTCTGAATGTGTCGTGCTTCTGGATGTCCATCCCATTCTCAAATTTTAGTATTATCTTTTCCCTGAAAAAGTGATCCATGCCATTAGTCTGTATCATACAGCCTCTTCAATAACAATAATTCTTAAATTTGGTCTCTTAATGTTGTCCCAGAGTTCTTGTACATTCAGATCTTGGTTACTTCTTTTCTTTAATACTGTTTTTGTGTTCATGGGCTGGCCACTATCTTTCTCTTATATTCTCTCCACTTCAATATCTTTAGAGTCAGTTGCTGGTAAATTATGAACTTTAGGAAATGTTGAGTTACCTGTTTCTTCATATTTCCTGTGTTGGGTTTTATGTACCTATTGAGGTGGATTTCTCTTTCACTCTTTTGTGTGGGCTTTTTTAGGGCTCAGCCTTCTCTTGCCACTGTTTCCTAGAGAGATCTAGATTAAGAACCCTAGTAGGTGAGGTATCCATAGCCTTTGTGTGTATTCTGTTTTTGCTGTAGGAGTAGACATCCATGAGTGGGAATTTCTGCTTGGAAATGGCTTGGAGGTTTTGTCTGTTCTGGTCTTTGTATTAAAATATCACTGAATTCTGAGTATGGTTAATTTGTGTGTGAAACAAATTGTGCTATCCTTTGGCTGGATTTTATTCAGCAGCAGAATCTCTATTCAGTGAACTTGTGATGTCCTTGTAGATTTCCAGAAACTTAAGAAAACAATATATAGCATTAAAATAAATACCTGATGCCTACTATGACATCTGCAACACTAATACCATAAAAAAAAAAGCGATAGAGGGTCAATAATTGCCAACAGCAAAAATAAGAAATAGCTGTGAACTAGACCTGACATTGAAACAAACTGCAGGTGTCAACCATGTCATCCACAGTATTAATAACTGCAGCAACATAAATGGATGGGGCAGGAGTTTTATGAACCACGTAGTTCTAAAAGATGGTAAACATATAGATCATTTAAGAGAAAATAATGTAATAGGAAGGTTAAAAAATTTAGAATGTTCAGAAACAATGAAGAAAAGACAGCAAGTGAAACAAAAAATTCTAGCCCTCAAAAGACAAGGAAAAATAACTATTATAAAAAGAAAGAAATATGTATGTATGTCCACAAACCAATTAGCACAGCAAGAACATCTCCCACCTAAAAAAAAAAAAGATTCTTAATGAAAAATGAATTATCTCCATTGGTCAGCTGCCTATGCCCCACTGTCTTTCTTTCCTATTCTTCTTAGGCCATGTGCTGAGAGGATTTGTGGGGTGGGGATTGTTAACCCCTTTCTCTCTTTGTGTTGCCTACTGGGGTAACCTAAAACTGAAACTGGTTGAAATAACTGAGTTCCCTTCCCACCAGTATAAAGTAGAATGGCATAGGAAATACTGTAGATTGGGGGTTTGTCCACAAATGCCAGATTGATGAAATCACAGTGGCCACCTGTGCAAAAATCTGAGGTGGAATTTCTGGTGGCTGGGGCTTAGGTCTAATCAAACCTTAGGAACTTTGTTGGGTGGCTTAGTCTCTGAATGTATGTATCCATGCCCACCTCTTAAGTTTCCCAATCTTCTTGAGCTGTTCATGTGAGCCACCAGACTCAAAGGCAAGTTGTACTCCCCTCCATTTTTCTAGCTTTAATCCTCCTGAGTAGTTTTCTCTATGCCTGTTTCACTCACATTGTTCTAGGTACACCCTAGGCCACAATGTAGTTGCTTGTGGAGACAGATTTTTGCTGTGATTACCTAGCTTCCTAGCAGCAGCTGCATGCATGCATACATGGCCACCTCATGATGGCTCCCACCTCATCTCTCTTCTTACCACTTGAGAAATGTGTGCACAGACACCAATTGGCTGCATAGCCTCTAGATCAGCTAAATTTATGCTATTTTCTGATGTACAGGTTTTTCGTGCTTAATTTGTCCATTGTTTCTATCTCTGTGTTATCTCTCCTTTCTGTGATGAATTAGTGCCACTGCTCCTGCAGCTAACTTGGCTCCAATATACTCTTTTGTTCTTTGTTCGTTGCACACAAACTTTTGAGTCTCTAAAAGACTCTGACTGCCTTTTCTACCTTGCTGAGAAGCAGTACTCCTGCTGCTTGAATCCCAAGCCATAGAGCAAGTGGAAATTCAGCCTTCCTTTAATCTGCCATCTTGAATCTCCTTGAGTTCCTTTCCATTTGTTTTTAGATAATCTCAGTGTCATTTTTTAATTTATTATTTATTTTTCAAACTGGGGGTTGAACCCAGGGCTCTACAGATGTTAAGCAGGTGCTCTACTACCAAGCTACATCCCCAACCCTTTGTTTTTGTTATGTTTAATTGGAACAGGATCTCACTGAGTTGCCTGGGTTTGCCTAGAATTTGGAATCCTCCTGCTCAGCTTCCTATATAGCTGGAATTACAAGCATGTACCACTGCACCGAAATGAACACTTCAGTTATTTTTTATTTATTTATTTATTTTTAGTTGTAAGTGGACACAGTACCTTTATTTTATTTAATTATTTTATGCAGTGCTGAAGATCAAACCCAGTGCCTTATACGTGCTAGACAAGTAATCTACCATTGAACTATTAAAATATTTTTTTTATTTTTTTATAAATAAAAATGAAGGCCTTTTTTGTTTCCTCCATACCATTTTTACTCTCTTTCTACCCTTCTTGGTTTTCTAATTCAAGATCGTTGAGTTCTAATCTTTGTTTCTTACACGGGTTTTTTGTTTGTTTTTGTTTAAATATCCTTTCTTGAGCTTCCTGAGACATTATATTTACTCTGTGTTCTTGAGGAGTGGTAATATTACCATCATCATATGCTTAACACTACTAAGAGTTTAGTCCTGTTGTTTTGAGTAAATGGTGCCATAAATAGTGGCTATTTTAAAAATTTTCAGGCATACTGATCATTCTGATATACTTTAGAGTTATTCATGTTGAAGGATGGAGATTCTTGTATGTACATTACATTGGTATTTTTATACTTCCGTGAATGTCATTCAAATGACAGATTTTTATAGTATAGATATGGTTGTGATATTTGCATTAATCATGTGTTAGAAAAATTGTCATTTTTGTAGCTCAGTGGTAGAGCACTTGCCTCGTATGAGTGAGGCACTGGGTTTAATCCTCAGCTCCACATAAAAATAAATAAATAAAGATTATTTTTTATGCAGGGTTTAGAATTTTCATTATGTTGTTACTATATATAGGTGCCTGGAATACTTATTAAGAAATGATGCAAATCCAGGGATCCGGGACAAGCAAGGATATAATGCAGTTCATTATTCAGCTGCTTATGGTCACCGTCTATGTCTGCAACTGGTAAGATTTCTCAGTTGTTATTAAAGGAATAATATGAGCTTATGGTCTAGTTACATAATGAAAAGAGAATGAGAATAAATGATTCAAGAAACAAACTTTCTTTTGCTTTTTAAAATTTTCAGAATCCATGTAACTCTTAAAATTCATCTTTGCCTTCTTAGTAAGTTATCACTCATTCTCTTCCTTTTCAAAAAGCAAGGTGAAAGGATAAAATTAAGTCTCTGGTGAGGATTTGGGCACAGTGCCACACACCTATACTCACATCTACTCAGGGAGCTGAGGCAGAAGGAGCACTTGATACAGATGTTTGGATTCAGCCTGGGCAACAAAGCAAAACCCCCAACTCAAAAATAGCAAGTCTCTAGGCTTTTTAGGTTTCCGGTACGTGTGTTAAGAATTGTGTACAAAGTGAAATGTCTGTGTACTGATTCTCAATACAGCCAAATTCTCAATCTCAAACACGAAAAAAAAAAAAAAAAAGCAAATCTCTGGAAAAGTCTACTTATATCCTTACCTTATATTACCCCACATGTGTGTCTGCAGCATTTATAAATGTTTTCTGTAAGCTTCTAAAAAATTAACCATGTCTCATGTGAAAAATAAAAGCTCCAGTGAGAGAAAGCTCTCTACCCACTTATTCTTAGGAAATTCTGAAAGACTGTTTCCTTTCACAATACCTCTTAATAAGGGAGACTCTCCTCTGCCAAAGAAATTTTCATTTCCACTGTGGTTTATCCTGGAACATGTACCATTCACCTCACCCCACTTTGCCAAAAAAAAAAAAAAAAAAAAGCTAAGGGATAAGTTAAAATGTACTCCTGTGTAATAGATGCTTCAGGTTAAAGGTTCCTTTATATAGACTTATAATTCAGATTACATTTAACTTTGCTTCCCTTCAAGAGGCAATAAAATTGAAGAAGAGAGGATATAAAAGAAAATCAAGGTTAATATATCTTTAACCATTTAGAATACTGAACAAAAATACCACATATTTTTTAGGTTATGGATCTTTAGACTAAATTCTTAGACGTACATATGTAGATTTGTGATCTATTTATAATTGTTTACTTAAAAGGTTTAATCTTTTAGACTCAAAGAAAATATGGTTTTAGAACAGAAGTTTAAAATGCCCTGTGTAAATAGAGACTTCATATAAATATATTTCATAAACTAAATATTTTGTTTTTTAACCTTTATTTCAGATTGCGAGTGAAACTCCTTTAGATGTTGTAAGTATTAGTTGATTCTCCCCTACCATTCTGAATGTTGTATTTCTTTGCCTTCATTAGAATTGAAGCTGAAGATGTATTCACATATCCCTGAGAACAAAGATAGTGGCAGAAATTATATATATATGGGGGAATGGAGATATTTACTGGTGGAAGGTAAATAATATTTCCCCAAAGTCTTGGTTTTACAGCCTTCCTCAAAGATCTTAGTATGTGGTCCTTACCATACTTTTGTAATAATCCTATTAGCTTACTGAATTGTGGATTTGAACAGGGTGGTGGGAACAATAATTGCTATAGTTTCATTCCTGACATTAAAAACGCCCCTTCTTTTTCAGTTAATGGAAACCTCAGGGACAGACATGCTGAGTGATTCCGATAACAGAGCAACAATCAGCCCTTTACACTTGGCTGTGAGTACTACCGTCACAGCCAATTTGATGGCTGCTTTACTGAAATATCTAATATCTGTTTATGTTGACTCAAACTAGTGCCCTAAACTTTTTGGTCCATGTAGTAGTTTTCATGCAGTTAAAACTTTAAGAACTTTTTTAATCTAGAGAATTCTTTACTTAAATGTTTTTAATTTGCTGCTTGATTCTTTCTTTCTCCCTCTCCCTATCCCTCTCATTCTCACTCTCACTCTCCCCTCCCCCTCCCCCTTCTTCTTTTTCTCCCCCTCCCAGGCTTCTCCCCAGGGACTACTCTAAAATAAAAAGAATATGCCTGTGACATAAACTTTCAAATGCTGTCCTGGTAGAAGGACTTCTAACTTGCTAAGCAGATAATATACATAAATAAACAAAAATTCTATGGTATTTCTACAGTTTTTTGCTTACTTTGTGATCTTGGGGTTCTAACTAGTTGTGTGTTCAGTGCTACTTAAGTTATTCACACTATAGGATTTGACAACATGATCTATAATGTCCATTCCACTTTAAAGATTGCTCTGAATTTTCCTCTCAATATCAGTCACTAACAGAAAGTTAGGGAAGAATTTTACCAAAAAAAAATTTTTAATCAAATATGGGAATGAATTACCTTAGGAAAATCCGGTGGGAGGTGGAATGGGGATACTGGGTATTGAACTCGGGCACTGAACCACATCCCGAGCCCTATTTTGTATTTTATTTAGAGACAGGGTCTCACAGAGTTGCTTAGCGCCTGGCTTTTGCTAATGCTGGCTTTGAACTTGCGAGCTACAGTACCTTAGGAAATTTTAAGTAAAGCCCAATCTAGCTTTTTCTTTGAGGTTTTTGTATTATCATTGCTTTTCTTGGCTGGTGCTGGGGATTGAACCCATGGCCTCATAAAAGCTAGGCAAGTGTTTTACCACCCAGATACATCCCCAGGAAAAAAGAATTTATTTTTTAAACTAAGTATATTATAGTTGGTTGGGTGGGGGGATCTTTTTGATAATTAGGAGACAAGGATACTATCACTAGATATTATGACACGTCTCATGTTAAATATACTAAAATGCTTTTTAGGATATATGACTTAATGGGGATCACTACAAGTTCAGTGACCCATTTGTTTCTTTTCATGTGTATTGTTAGTTTTCATCTAAATGTTCTTATATATGTTCTAACACTGACACACTGAATTTTCTGCTTTCTTTCCCAATGTACTATGAAATAAATTTATGAATATTTCCTATCCATATGAAATATTTTTACATTCAAATGAAATTGTATAGAACTATGGAAGTAGTAATTCCTGTTATGGTCTAAGTAAGAAGGTATATTAAAGCTTTTTATTCCTTATCATTTGAGTCCTTGGAAACACTTATCACCTCTACCAAACTTGAAGAATAAATAATCCTGAAAAGGTAAAACCAGTGTAGAGAAAGTAGCCATTGGTGTCAAGAAATGACAAGGCAATTCTTTTATCGATTTGTAGGATTCTCTTAATAGTTTAATGATGTTATTTCCTTTGAAATTTCACATTTTTCTTTTCCGCCCTTCCCTGTATGCCCCACCAACTTGGCAAGTTTCTCTTTTTGTGCTTGTAGGTGAACACTATGTTCTGCATTAAATAGTGGGTGCTCCCTCACTCTCACTTTGTCTCCCCTCCACCCCTGTCTCATTTATTGTTTTTTGGTGGTAGTTAGGTTTGGTTTGGTACTGGGGATTAAACCCATGGGCAATTTACCACTGAGTTCCAAGCCCTTATTATTTTGAGACATGGTCTTTCTAGGTTGCCACTAATTTACCTAGGCTGACATTGAACATGGAATTCTCCTGCTTCAGCTTCTTGAGTCTCTGGGATTATAAACATGCAGTGACTGATTAGTGATTGGTTTTGTGGGGTGGGGGGGCACGCATATATGGTTTTTTTTGTTGTCGTTGTTTTCATTTGTTTTTCGAGGGTTGTTTGGTTTTTAATCAAGGGTTTTGTTTTGTTTGTGGTGGTAAGACAACAAAAAATAATATAAAGTTTATGGGGGTTTTTTGGTTGGTTTTTGTTTTTTGGTACTAGGGATTGAACCCAGGTATACTGAACCATTGAGCTACATACATCCCCAGCCCTTTTTATTTTTCATTTTGAAGCAGTGTCTCACTAAGTTGCTAAGGCTAGCTTTGAACTTGGGATCCTCCTCCCTTCTTCAGCCTCCCCAGTTGCTGGAATTACAGGCATGCACTACTATGCCCAGCACAATGTTCTGTCTTAGAGTACAGTTTTAGTGTTAAATATTTTCACGTTGAGAGTTAAATACTTTTGTGTTGTTGTGCACCCAGTCTCCCAGTCTCAATTTCTTACCTTGCAAAACTGAACACTGTATATAGTCATTAAACAATAGCTCCCTATTCCCCCCTCCCTCTAGCTGTCCTATGATTTTGACTAATCTAATCTAGAAAACCCATATAAGTTGAATCCTAAAAATACTGAATCCAGTATTTTTTGTAACTGGTTTATTTCACTTAATATACCATCCTCCTCAAGATTTATCCATCTTGTCGATCTGGGGTCGTAGCTCAATGGTAGAGCACTTGCTTCACACATGGGAGGCACTGGATTCCATCCTGAGCACGACATAAAAATAAGTAAAATAAAAGTATTGTCTATCTAAACTAAAAAAGAAAGAAAGAAAAACAAAAGATTTATTCATGTTGTAACAATGGCCAGGATTTTTTACATATTTAAGATTAACAATACCCCATTGCATGTATATACATTTTGTTAATACATTCCTATATCACTATACACTTAGGTTGTTTCCATCTCTTGGCTATCTGAATAAGTACTGCTGTGAACATGAATGTGCTAGATAGTGTTTTAAGCTGAAACAGTAGCAGTTTTATAATTTACTAATTAGGCTCAATGAAATGTGATTGATTATACTACCACCTTTGCATTTCATGTCTAACCCTAAGACATCCTCAAAAATTAGTTGTATTATTTTTCACGCTAACCTCCCATTTGAGCTACTGATACAGTTAAAACACTAACCTGAGGTTACAGAAACTAATCTTGATTCCTAACTTTGTTGGTACCAGACATACACATTCTTTTTCCCAGTCCTTTGTGAGGATGTGATGGAGGGTAACAACCCTATGACCAAAGCCTCATAGCTCTTATTTTCTCTTTTTGTACTTTCTTCTTACACATTCAGCAGTGTTCCTCAAAGTTCATTCTTTTAGTAATGTAATTTCAGTGATTGGGTGTTGATGAAAAAAACTGGTGTGATAATAGAACCAGTAGTGTTCTATGATGTACAGTCACTTTAATCTTTGAGGTAGTCAAGCTTATATGTCATTGAACTTCCTACACAGAAGCATCAAAGAGATCACTTAGACCCAGAGCAACTTCATCTCTTGCTGGTACTTTCTAATATTTTGTATAAGAAATAGCTTTGTAGTCTTTTAAAGCTTATTATTGTCTAATGTCCTGCTCAACATCCAGTCCATTGTAAGTGTTGAGTACACATGTTGGCTTTTTAAATGAATTATTAAGAAAGCCCCCTATTATACTATATAAAGAAGAGACTTCAGCCAGTGTGTCACATGCAGGCCCAGCTACTCTGGAAGCTGAAGTAAGAGGATTATAAGTTCAAGGCCAGCTTCAGCAACTTAGTGAGACCCTATATCAAAATTTAAAAGAAAAAGGGCTAAAAGTGTAACTCATTGGTACAGTGTGTTCAACCTCCAGTACTGGATTGAGAAAAGGAGGGAGTGGGGAACCTTCAGTCTGACAATCTTCATATATAACTCTTATATAGCTAGGACAATGCCTGGCACAAGGCAGATGTTTGAGCAGAGCTTGATTAAGTATTTTTGTGCTAAGAGAAAAGTTTATTTTTGAACTATGGCACATTATGGGATGGAGTGGTCAATTAAATTTGAGAAATCAAAAGACTGAAATATTGATTCAATTCATTACTATAGCTGTCCCTCTAATATTAGTAAAAGTCTATCAGGGAATTAATGTGAAACACTGAACTATGATTAAGAATACTTTTTTGGAACCATAGACTTTAATTAATTAAACTTTTGTTAATTGCAGAATACCTGTTTCTAATCAACACTGTAGCGTGCTGTGTTGTTTTAAAAAATGTATAGTTAATTTTCTGAATTCTCAGTATAGAAGTTTGTATATCTCAAATATAATAATGATTGAAGACAACTTTGCTTACTTTACATTTTTCTAAAGTGTTTGGTCTTGAGGTTACAGCTCATTGGCAGTCAAGCACTAAAGAAAAAAGAAAAGAATGTAGAAAGTGTAAATATGTTAATTTTATTGTTTTTTAAATATGTATTTTTATTGACTTTTTTTTTTATTTCTAGGCATATCATGGTCACCATCAAGCACTGGAAGTGTTGGTACAGTCTTTGTTAGATCTTGATGTAAGAAATGGTAGTGGAAGAACTCCCTTAGATCTTGCAGCATTTAAGGGCCATGTTGAGTGTGTGGATGTACTCATTAATCAGGGAGCCTCAATCTTAGTAAAAGATTACATTTTGAAGCGAACACCTATACATGCAGCAGGTATGCCAAATTCTATGCTATTCATCTAATGTTCTTTTTCAGTTTCTGGTATATAATATTCCTGATATATATCTTGATTTTTTTTTTAACTTAAAATGGTCAAATGATTGTATTTTCAGAGGAAAACCAACAGCAAGTTTAAAAAACTCAATATGTGCCTTAGAAATTGGATTTATGTAATAATCTACCTTGTGAAATATTTTATCACAAAACAGTACAGTATTTCTTTTTTTACCTTCTGACGGGAGCTATTTCAGATTGGTTTGTGCTTTCATTTAACAGTTGATAAACATTTTTAGTTATTTTTATCATTGTACAGCAAATTTATAGAGCACCTACTTTATGCAAGAACTACTCTAAGTTGTAATTTTTTTGTTTTCAAATGTAAAAAATGCTAAAATCTGTAAGTCATTCAGATAATTTGGTGCCAGGAATGTATCACTAGAAGATACAGATTTCACAACTCTGAAGGAATTCACAACTCTCTAAGGCAGTGTTTATTTTAAATAGCCAAGAGTAATACAATTGAAGAAATCTTTTACTGAAATCCAACTAGGCTGCCTTTATATTATTAGATTAATGCCACTAAGTCTTGAATTTTGCATATTTAACTTAGTTTCAAGGCTGCATGTTTTCTTTGAGCTACTTCTACTTGCCTGTTTTATGCATTTGGACATATAAAAATATTCTTTATAGATGTGTCGTTTTTCTTATATACACACACATGTATACATACACAGCATTTGGAATTCTTTCAACTATGAATAACAGGGTACCCAACTGAAAGTGACTAGTGACAGGGGTTTAGTCGTCTCTCACATAAAGTAATCCAGAGGCAGATGCAGTTCAGAATTGGTTGATTCCACAGTGATGTCAGACTGCCACCAGATTCTCCGTTACTCCTCTTGTCTTTGTATTTATGTTGCAGGATGCTGGCTATTTCTTTACAGGGTCACATCCTAAATCATGAAAGAGGGGGGCTTTCCATTATCCAGAGTTAAAAAGGGTTTCTTAGAAGCCTTCTAGGCCTCTCAACTTCACAGTGGTCAAATTGGGAAGTAGTACTCATCTTGCAACTGATCACTATCAGAGGATATTGGGGTTCTTATGATTGACTTGGTCTAATGTAATTTACTTCATTTTGGCCATTGACTGGAGGCAGTTCAACCTTCTCTTACTTAGAGCTAAGTGCAGTAAACGTTCTATTAGTATGGCACATGTTGAAGAATAGGTGCTGGTAGGCAGCCTGCCTGCTCTGATCAGGAATTCATATCTGTTCAGCTTTAATAACAAAAGCAAGTAGAAACCTACTTTGTACATGTAATTTTCCTTCTTATGTATTGAATTCAGTGAAATTATCCCAATGTTACATTATAGACTTTTTTTTTTTTAAATAGCAGGGATCAAACGCAGGGTCCCAGTCATGCTAGGCAGGCATTCTACCACTGAGCTACATATTCAGCCCCCAAAGTTACATTTTAAATGTGCTCTAAAATAGAAAATGTTTAAGATGGACATTTTCTATTTTATTATTTACTGAATTTTTTAAATTTCACTTTACAGCAACAAATGGTCATTCAGAGTGCTTACGGCTGTTAATAGGAAATGCAGAACCACAGAATGCAGTAGATATCCAAGATGGAAATGGACAGTAAGTTTCAATAATTTTTAAATTACTTTTAAGGTGTTTGTTATTCTACATACCTTGGTAAGTCTATCATAGTAATGTAACTGAGTAAATCAAATAATAGTTTTTAACAAAAGTATACTTACAGTTACACCCAACAAGGAATATTTAGAAAACAGGCCAACACATTATTATTATTGTTGTTGGTTTTTTTTAAATATAGTACAGTCTTAATAGCACTAAAACTGTTCTGTTGTTGCTCAGGACACCTCTCATGCTGTCTGTGCTCAATGGGCATACAGACTGTGTGTACTCACTGCTGAACAAAGGAGCAAATGTAGATGCCAAAGATAAATGGGGAAGGACAGCATTGCATAGAGGGGTAAGCTATCTGTTTTCTTTGCCAAAAAAAACCTCTTATGACCTCATATTACCTAGAACTAAACCAGACTGTGTTTATTTTCTTTATTAAATTTCTACCAAACAGTAAGTGCTGGAGTTTCTTAATTAAATTTTTAAATACTAATTTGGAATACTTATAATATGTAACAGTCTAGAGAACAATAATGTTGTAACAACATTTTAAATACCTAAAACCTTGAATAAAATTAATATGTTTTTGGCATTTTTCCATTATCTTGACTATTTTCTTAGACTTTTATCACATTGACTCACAGGTATTTCCTCTGTTCTTGTTTTTCATATTACTAGTACTTTATAACAGAATTACTACTTTACCTGAATTTTTAAACCACTTCTAATAAAAATATACTGAATTATTTGGAATATAATAAGTGGCCCTAGTTAGCAGGAAGATATGAGGAGTATGTACTTCAAAACTTTTAAATTAACTAAAGTTGCTGTATAGCATCCAGCATAATACATTTGACTACAAGTAAATTGTTTTTCTTTTAGGCGGTTACAGGCCATGAAGAATGTGTAGATGCATTACTTCAACATGGTGCTAAGTGTTTACTACGGGATAGCAGGGGTCGGACACCTATACACTTGTCAGCTGCCTGTGGACACATTGGTGTTCTTGGAGCCCTTTTGCAGTCAGCAGCATCTATGGATGCAAATCCAGCCATAGCAGACAATCATGGATATACAGCACTTCACTGGGCTTGCTACAATGGTTAAGTAATAGATAAAAATTGAATTAAGTGCCTATTGTATATTGCATAGAGACAGTTAACTATAATACATTTTGATATTAATATATTTGTAAACTTAAAATTTAAGTTTAGTAGGAAGCCTGGGAACAATCAGATATAGCTACGTCCTATCCTTTATCATACTAAAAGCCAGGATAGTAGTTGTCAAAGTTCTTTGAGATAAGCAATGATAGCTTTTAAAAAATTGTTCTTAGACCTTCAATAATTTGCATTTTAAGAGGTTTTATATATTTTCTGTGTCTTTTGTATGGTATGTTTGTATTTTTATTATGTACTTTTACTTTCTAAATGTTCTTATATTAGGAAAAAATTAGTAAAGTGGGGAAAACAATGAAATGCATCACATTCCAAATTGAAGTCTATGTATGTTTCCTGAGCACATCAAAAAATAAAATCCTTATTATCACCACTAACATGCATGCTCAATGTTTTAAAGCAATAAAACCCTAGAAGATGTTTTAGAAACTTTCATAGGTTAACTTTTCTGCATTATTAGAACAGAATATTTCTAGCTTTCTAGAGACTCAGTCACAGTCATCTCTTTTATAGATAGACCCACAAAAGGTCATTCAGGGTAGCAGAAAGCTATTTTTGAGATACTAATGTTAAATATGGAGTTTGGAACCAGGTGCAGTGACATATACCTTATACTCCAAACAGCTCAGGAGGCTGAGGCAGAAGGATCACAAGTTCAATGTCAGCCTCAGCTGTTTAGCAAGGCCCTATGCAACTTAGGGAGATCCTGTTTTCAAAATTTAAAAAAACGAACTGGGGATGGAGCTTAGTGACAGAGTAATCCTGGGTTCAACACCCATTACCAAAAAATTGTTCAAAAAGGAGTTTAGCTTATAAAAATGTTCACTAAAATAATTTACATTGTGAAGTTTATTGATTTTTTTTCCTTGTATAGACCATAGATTTGATCATCTTAGAAAACATTCAGATTTATTACATACAGTGTGATCATCAATCCTATCAAAGTTTGGGCTTAAGCCTTTCACAGGTAGAGAAGTTTTTAAAACTTGTTAGGAATTTCACTTATAACATTGAGATTAATGTTAGTTGTAACAGCATGTCCACAAAGCTCTAATTCAAGTATTGCATCTGTTCTGAAATCAGCTGAATATGTTCACCAAATAATTGAGGTTTTCCCTGCCTGTAATCTGTGGCCTTGTGGTTTTTACTGTGAGAGCCATTGTGACAATGCCACTGAATTATTGTAAAAGGAAAAATCTGAATCTTTAAAATTACAGTTTAAGTAAATGTTCATAGGATTTCCTAGATTGCATTTTTATACCAATTCTTGTGCTAGACTTGAAAGTTTCATTCTTTCACTGTCAGAAATTTTTAGATTCTTCTCTTTTTGGTGTGGAGATGGGGCTTATCCTATAGTTGGTCATCCTTCAACTTGGAGTATGAATAGAACCATTAAAAAAACTTAAATAATTAAATCTGTTATGAATCCCAAAAGCTTAGCTTGGTCTCTTTTTCTTTTTTACTACCTTTTATCTTTAACTAAAATAGTTTTGAAAACTATAGGCTTTGACTTTTCTTTTTCCCTTTCAGCTCACTGAAGTTTGTATTTAATGATTATACTGTAATGGCCAAAGATTAGTCCTAACTCAAAGAAAATACTGTAGTTTGACATTAAAATTTAATTTGTTTTTATAATGTGACTTGACATTTATGAATATGAGGAAAACCTAAAATAACTAATATAGTGGGAAAACATCTACCAATGTGAATTTTGTTTGTGTAAAAAGTCAAGGAGGAGCTGGGGTTGTGGCTCAGTGGTAGAGTACTTGCCTACCATGTGTGAAGTACTGGGTTCGATTCTCAGCACCACATATAAATAAATGAATAAAATAAAGGTCCATCAGCAACTAAAAATTGGAAAAAAAAAGTCAATGAGATCAAACTCTTATGAATCCGGTTTGTTTACTTTTTTTTTTCTTCTTCTTGTACTGGAGATTGAACTCAGGGGCACTCAACCACTGAGTCACATCCCCAGCCCTATTTTGTATTTTATTTAGAGACAGGGTCTCACTGAGTTGCTTAGCACCTGGCTTTTGATGAGGCTGGCTTTGAACTCTCAATCCTCCTGCCTCAGTCTGCCGAGCTGTTGGGATTACAGGTGGGCGCCACCGCACCCAGTTTATTGTTATTGTTTTAATGTATCAATGATACCTGTGATTTTTTTCCAAAAGTTATTTTTTCTCAGGTAATACATTTAGTCATAAATAGAAAGTTATTCTCTCGTAATATTTCTTTTCAGGTCTATATATAGACCTGAATTATTTCTATTCTATGATGGCTAAACTTCAAGTCCTAAGTACATTTTTTTTATAAGAGATAGAATTTTGCACAAACTTCATGCATGGTTGCCATTTAAAAATCAACAGATGTGTCTGATCTTCAGATTGTAGAAAAATTGTGATTCTGAATTGAGTTGGAAGAAATTAAATGTGTTTTGGTTATATGTAATAAGACTTTACAGTCTAAAATTAATACCATATTTATAGCCAAAAGACTGCTTTATAATTCAGCATTCTGAAAGTCAAATATGTAAAATGGTTTTACTTTGACTAGTAATTGTATGGCTGGAAACAAAATTGGGATCACTCCAATAGAACAGAAAACAACCTTTCTCTCAAAATTAAAATGAAATGATGGGGCTGAGGTTGTGGCTCAGTGGTGTAGTGCTCGCCTAGCACATGCGAGGCCCTGGGTTCAATCCTCAGCAACACATAATAAATAAATAAAATAAAGGTATTGTGTCCCAAGTACAACTAAAAAATATTTTTTTAAAAAATGAAATGATAGCCAAGTCTTAAAAAAGAATTGGCTGTACATACTATGCTTAGAGTTCTAAATTTCAGTTTATATAATTCTTTAATCACAGAATTTAGAGTACTTAGATTATCTCATTTATTCTTTTAAAAACTTATTGAAGCTGTAAGCTTCCTCAGAATTGCCCTCTGAAATATCAGGAGGCCTAGTTCTGTCATTGTTTCAGTTTGAATATTGCCCAATAATGATTTCCGAAGGAGCCAGAGTTCCCTTTTGTCAGGAAAAACCATTTGATCTATAATCGTGAGTTAAAACTATTGATAGTGTTTTTAGAAATTGGAACTGAGAAGTTTTAACTGTGCTTATTTTTTTTAAATAATAAATACATTAAATTTAACATAAGAAACATTTTCATGAAGAATGTTTTTGAAACTTTTTTTAGTGGGAAGAGTTGGCAAATTTCTTTAGTGTCTAGTTTAAGAGAATAAATGGATTTTCATCCTATACATCTGTTTTCACGCCTTTTCAAAATCACCCCACATTTGCCCAGGCCACACTTTAAGAACCCATGTGCCAACATAATGAGAAGCTTTTCAGTCAACATTGAACATCTTTCCATTGATATTTCTTAGTAATGAGTTAATATTCAAGGAGATGGAATTAAAAGCAGTGTCTCAAACTAAGCATTTTGAGTGAGATAATTCTTTGTTATGAGGGACTGTACTGCACTGCAAGATACTATAGTAGCATCCCTCTGCCCATTCAAGGCCCATAACACTTCCTACCCCCAGTTGTGATAAGCAAAAATGTCTTTAGACACTGCCAAATACTTCCTGAAGGGCATAGTTGTGCTGTTTGAAAACCACAGAATTAGAGAAAAGATCTGATAAAATATGGAGCACAATCACAGATTTCCTAACAGTTACAAAACAATTTTAAATAGTTGAGCTATTATTTGAGAGTGTTAAGAGTAATTAACCAAGTACAGCATCGCTTAGCTAGCCAACTATTAAACCATGAAAGTAGACTGTAGAAATCTAAATTTGTTCCTAAAACAGATCCCAAATGAATAACAGGATAAAAGAAGCAGGTTTTTTTGTTTTGTTTTGTCTTGTTTTGGGGTACTAGGGATTGAACCCAGGCTCGCTCTACCATTAATAACTCTACTCCTTTTTATTATTATTATTATTATTTTATTTTAAAATAGGGTCTCATTATGTTGCTCAGACTGGCCTGGAACTTGTCATCCTCTTGCTTCAGCCTCCCAAGTAGCTGGGATTAAAGACATGCACCTATACACCCAGCAAGAAGTAAAATTTCCTTTCACAAATATTACAGGTTGAGCATCTCTCATTTAAAAAGTTTGAAATTCAAAATGCTTACATTACAGTTCAGGTTTCAGAGCATTTTGAATTTTTGAGTTTCTGATTAGGGATATTCAATCAGTAAAATATAAAAGTATTCCAAAATCTTAAGAACTCTGAAATGTAAAGCAGTTTTTCAGATAAGAGATACTAAACCTGTACTACAGGTGGGTGGGTAGGTTATTTGTTTTACTAATCCTTGGCTTTGTAAAAGGGACCAGAATAGATCATACAGACTAGTTAATAATATCACAAAGTGTTGTTTTTTAAGTCATAGTTGGACACAATATTTCATTTATTTATTTTTATGTGGTCCTGAGGATCAAACCAGCACCTCGAACATGCTAGGCAAGTACTCTACCACTGAACCACAACCCCAGCCCAGATCAAATCATGTTTGATACACAGTGATACTGTGAAGTCTTTGAACTTTAAAGAATAAGATTTGTATACTAAAAAAGGACATATATAGTTTATCAAGTAAAAAGAAAGTTGCAGGGAAAAAAATCTCAGTTTACATAAAAAAGAAAGTATGCATACACTTGTAGTCATATATGCCTAGAGATTTTCTGGAACTCTTAAGGGACCAGTGGTTACAGTCTAGAGTAGAACTGGGAGATGGGATGGAGACGGGGATTTGTACTTTTTCCTTTTAGACATTTCTTTGTATTTGAGATTTTTGCCAGTACTTTTTAGATTTTAATAACTGGTTCTTGTTTATCTACTTAGGCCATGAGACATGTGTAGAACTTCTTTTAGAACAGGAAGTTTTCCAGAAAATGGAAGGAAATGCTTTCAGTCCTTTGCATTGTGCTGTGTAAGTGAAGCCTAAATAAATCAAATTTATTTTGAGTGTTTTAGAAAATTTACCATTGCTATGAGAGTGATCACCTTGTTACCTTACACAGGATAAATGACAACGAAGGTGCTGCTGAGATGTTAATTGATACATTAGGTACCAGCATTGTGAACACCACAGATTCAAAAGGAAGGTAGGAATTCAACTATGTAGTTTTTCACTTAGTAAAGCTCTAGAGGAAAAAAATTTTAACAACTAACCAAGTGTGGAACAATAAATAAAATTAATTAATTAATTAATTAATTTAAAAAGCCATAATTAATTGAAAATTGAATTTCATATTTGCAAGTATAACTTATTATAAAATCCTTTTTTCCCCCACTATTACCAGGGTTCTTATAATTATTTTTGGATTTTAGTCAATCTTTTTTAATTTTTTTAAAATATAAAGATTTTCATCCTCTTTTAAGAAGTATGTTTTTACAAAGTTAACAGTTTCTGAACAGGAATAAAAGCTGAAAGAAGAGTCCAGCAGTTGAATATGTAGTAGTTTTGGGGTCAGGATCTATTTCTTTTTGAAGTTTTCTTTACTAATGTAATTTTATTTTAGTGGTTTTATTTTTTTTTTTATTGTTGGTTGTTCAAAACATTACATAGTTCTTGATATATCATATTTCACACTTTGATTCAAGTGGGTTATGAACTCCCATTTTTACCCCGTATACAAATTGCAGAATCACATCAGTTACACATCCATTGATTTACATATTGCCATACTAGTGTCTGTTGTATTCTGCTGCCTTTCCTATCCTCTACTATCCCTCATCCCCTCCCCTCCCTGTGGTTTTATAATTGATGCTTATTTTAGACTAGTTCTAGTTTACTTAAGCCTCTTACATTACTGAAAGTGCAGATTTCTGTGGCAGAAATTAGTAAGCTCCATTGATCCTGTTTGTATCCAGGAAATGCCTAATATAAACCCTTAAAATTGCTTGTTATAAGTAAGGAATAAGGAATAATTTTTTCCAATGTGTATAACATTTAGTCATGCGTTTCAATTTCTCTGTGTTACAGAACTCCTCTGCATGCAGCTGCCTTCACAGACCATGTAGAGTGTTTACAGCTATTGCTCAGCCATAATGCTCAAGTCAATTCTGTGGACTCTTCTGGAAAAACACCTCTCATGATGGCTGCAGAAAATGGACAAACAAATACAGTTGGTAAAGAAACTGTTTAAGAATTCTGTTTTTCTAAAATATATAAGTTGCTTATATGTAACTTAGGTCCCAACCCTGTTTTCCACTAATTATCTCACTATTCCTGAGATACGAAAGTCTTTACCTGCTTCAGTCCACATTTTCACTTAGGGGCACAATGTTTTACTTTGCCCTTATTGATATAAAGAGTTAGTTTAGCAAGGCAACATAACAAACCAGTTAAGAACAGTGAATGTCAGTGACCCAGCAGGGTAAGGCAGGATGATTGCATGTTCAAGGCCAATCTCAGCTACTTAGCGAGGCCCTAAGCAACTTATTGAGACCCTGTCTCAAAATAAGCACCCTGGGTTCAATCTCTGGTACTTAAAAAGAAAAGAAAAAAGAACAACTCTGACTCTGCTAGGCACAGTGGTACATGCCTATAATCCCAGCAACTTGGGAGGCTGAGGCAGGAGGATCACAGGTTCTGGACCATCTTGAACAACTTACCGAGGCCCTATTTCAAAATTAAAAGAGAGCTTGTGCCTTAGTTTTTTCATTTGTAAAATGAGAAAAATAATGATACCCACTTAGGATTGTTGGGGGCGGGGGGTAACATAAATCACTATAAATCCACAGCACTTAAAATAGTATTTTAGTAAGCACTCAAAAATGTTAATTGCTGTTGGTAGTGTCTGATTTACACAAGAATATAATTGTTACATACAATTATATCACATTATCTTACGTATGTTATGAATTACGATATTTTTCTTGCACTTAAGATTTTGTGAGGGATATTTTTTGCTCTGTCTTCATCTCTCTACAGTGAGTTATTGATAATCTAAGAAACATATTCATAAACATAAGAACTGATGCACTTTTTCCTCCCAGAAATGCTGGTTAGCAGTGCTAGTGCAGATCTGACATTACAAGATAACAGTAAAAACACCGCCCTCCATTTGGCTTGCGGCAAGGTATGTACAGATTTTAAGGATATATTTTCATTGTTATAAATCAACAGTGGCATTAGAAGTTTTTCGACTTCACTTAAGTGAACCTCTGTAATGATGGCCAATATCATATTTCTTGAAAAGAAATATTGGCTTTGCCAGGAATTGTGGCACACTACCATTATCCTGGCAACTTAGGAGGCTGAAGCAGGAGGATTGCAAGTTTCAAGCCAATCCAGGCAATTTAGTGAGACACTATCTAAAAAGAATTAAAAAGTGCTAGGGGTGTAGCTCACTGGCAAGCACCCTGGACTTAATCCCCAGTATGGGGGAGAGGGAAAGAGGCGGGTGTGTATTAAATTTTGGAAGACAAACCTAACACAGTTTCTTAATTCTTCTTGTCCTCTCCCCTTACTTCCACTCCTAACAAATGTTTGGGCAAATATTTAAGCGATTGGCCAGGAAAATTCATATGTATAGTATTATACATAGTATGACCTACGTTTAGGAATTGTTGGATGTTTAAATTATTTTTAATGGTACTCAAGTTTTTAAGAGTTGCTTGCCACAATTTTAGGGTCATGAAACTAGTGCCTTGTTAATACTGGAAAAGATAACAGATAGAAACCTCATCAACGCAACCAATGCAGCCTTGCAAACGTGAGTACTTTCAGTATCTAGTGTAAATATTGTTATTTTTATAATTATTAAAATGACAAATGAATTTTTTAAGTATGTAGCCAATGTGTCTTACAAGTCATAGAAGCAGTTAAAAAGTGAAGAACAGTTTTTACAACTTACAAAACTTATTCCTGAAATCATCACAATTGAAAACCTTATTACATGCCAGGTGTGGTGACATATGTTTGTAATCCCAGTGGCTCAGGAGGCTTTTCTCAAAAAATATAAAAAATGGCTGGGGATATGGCTTGGTGCCCCTGGGTTCAATCCCCAGTACGAAAAAATAAAAAATAAAGCCTAATACTAGAAAAGCTATTGAACTGAAACTGTATTAGAACATTGGCAATAATGTATATTTTCACAACCTATTTAACCTGCATAATTTTCTGAAGCAAAGTAGTACTATTTTGTGTATTTTATTGAATTCCCCTGTAAAAATCTTATTTGACGCTAGGAATAAATGATAATCTAAAGAGGTTTTGGAAGTAGTCAGTCAAGTTGAGCCGGGTCGGGTGGCGCATGCCTATAATCCCAGCAGCTCAGGAGGCTGAGGCAGGAGGATCACAAGTTCAAAGTGGCCTCAGGAATTTAGTGAAGTGCTAAGCAACTTAGCAGGAACCTGTTTCTAAATAAAGTATAAATAGGGCTGGGGATGTGGCTCAGTGGTTAAGCACCCCTAGGTTCAATCTCTGGTACCAAAAAAGAAAGTTTATTTTCCTTCAATTATAAATATATCACTATAAAAGCATGTTCAAAAATCAAGTTCTTAATAATACAAACAAACCCACTTTTTGTTAAAGAAAAAAAAATCTTTAAGAGTACTGGTTCACATTCAGAGGTCAGTCAGATCCCTTGAGGGTCCAAAAATTAGTCACAGGGTCTGTGAGCTGTTTTCAAAGTCTGTGCTACTGCAGTTTCTGTTATGTATGTTTGTCAACCTTATGTTTTAGAACAACTTTAGAATGCCTTTTCATTGATTAAATCTTTTAAACATTGTGTTTTAGAGTGTAACAAAAGGGTTTAATGAAGATGGAAACCTGTGGCTAAGCTTATACTCATTGGGGGGGTATGACACTACATTGTACAGAAGATCTGCAGTCCTCACCCCCATTTCATTATGGTTAGAACTAGATATCTCAAGTTTATATCTCTGGGTCTTTACCACTTGGCAATAATGCTCTTTACAACCAGGCATGTGTCTTTGTGCACTGCTCATACATGTACATGTACGATTTTTCCCCCAGACCTCTGCATGTTGCTGCCCGAAATGGGCTAACAATGGTGGTTCAAGAACTTCTGGGGAAAGGAGCAAGTGTCCTTGCAGTAGATGAAAATGGTAAGTAGGCTCTGTATTTCTGTATTCTCTTCCTTTAACCTATATATTGCTAAAACTTTACATCTTTTTTGCAGTACTAGGGATTGAACCCAGGGCCCTATACATTCTAGACATGTGTTTTACCACTGAGCTTCAGTCCTAGCCCTTTTTATTTTGAGACATGGTCTTACTGAGTTGCCCAGGCCAACCTCAAACTTGCCGTCCTCCTGTCTCAGCCTCCTGAGTAGTTTGGTAGCTGGGATCACAGGTGTGCACCACTATGCCCAACTAAGCTTTTATCTTTTGATGGTACATATTTGAAGTAAAATAAACCTTGGATTTTTTTTTTTTTTAAAGAGAGAGAAATTATTTTTAATATTTGTTTTTCAGATTTTTTTGGTGGACACAACATCTTTATTTTATTTTTATGTGGTGCTGAGGATCGAACCCAGCGCCCTGTGCATGCCAGGCAAGCGTGTTACCGCTTGAGCCACATCCCCAGCCCTGTTATTTTTTTAATAGGGCAAAGAAGAAAGCTGAAATTAATATTGAGTTGTACTTCATGGCAAAGGAATAAGGGCAAGAGAAACAGGAAAAGTTTAAGAGATGAACCTCTGAATTTACATATTATCTGATAAATATATTATCTGTTAGTATTTACCATTTATACTTACCAACATTGTTCATCTTAGTAGCCATAGTTTTTGTTCTTTCCATAAATACTTATCAGGGCCCTACTTAAGGGTCTTATTATGCAAAGCCAGTCTTTCAACTCATACAAGTAGAGCGTGTACCTTTTCCTACCAGAGAATATCACCTTCAATAGTTCTTCCCTTTTGTGTTCTGCAAGAATTCTTTATTCTCTTCCTAGATATAATTGGTTCTATATTTATTTTTCAGTTATAGGTGGACACAATATCTTGATTTTTTTTTTTTTTTTTTTTTTTTTAGTGCTGAGGATCAAACCCAGTGCCTCATGCATGCTAGGCAAGTGCTGTACCACTGAGCCACAACCCAGCCCCTCGTTCTATTGTCTTTTGAAAAAAATCTTTTAATATCCTGTTGCTGCCAGCTGCTGCTTTTTCTGTTTTCCATTGCAGCAGAACTACTCAAGAATTGGCTTTCTATCATCAGGCCTTTGCCTCTACCACACTGCAAAACTGTTTTCATCAAAATCACTAATTGACCCCATGATGTTAAGTCAATTCCTAGGTCTCAGTACATTTAACAGATCAGCTTTTGGAAAAAAATTGATTATCTCTTTATTTACCTTTGGTAAACTTTCTTTCTTTTGGGGGCTTGATACTCCCTTGGTTTTCCTCCTACTTTACTGTTTACTCTAATTTCTTTTACAAAATTTCTCCCTCTTCCTAACTCCCCCTCTACCCCTGATGGGGGCTTGAAGCCAGAGCCCAGAAGCCTTTTTCCACTGAATCTCCAGTCCTTTTTTATTTTGAGATAAAATCTCCATAAATTTTTAAGGCCTCAGCCTCCCAAGTCACTGGGATTACAGGCATGCACCACAGCACCCAGCCTCCCTAACTTCTTAATATTGGAGGATTTTAGGAGCCAGTCTAAAAACTACCTAATGCTAAGAATTCCAAAACTTATGTTACCAGCCTAGACTTTTTATGTTCTCTATTTTCCTATACCCAGCTGCCTAATGGACAGTAGCACATATAGATTCAAGAAATATTTCAAATCTAATAAGTCTAGGTCTCAACTGTCAAATGTTCACACACACAAACACACACATCACAAAGCCTGTTTTCCCCACAGACATGCTAATCTAGGTTGAAGAAAATTCCTCTCCTGGGCTGGGGTTCTTGCTTAGTGGTGGAGCGCTTGCCTACACATATGAGGCACTGTGTTCAATCCTCAGCACGATAGATAGATAGATAGATAGATAGATAGATAGGGTCATGAAAACAACGGTAGTCATCCTGGGGGAGGATTTCTCTCAACGCTACATATTAATTAATTAATTAGGTCATTAAAACAATGGTAGTCATCCTGGCGGGGGGGATTCCTCTCCTTAATATTGCTCTCAAAAATTTAAGAGTTGTCCTTGATTGCTGTAATACCCAGTGTACACTTTATCAGCATGTACTAGTGAGTCCATCTCTAAAATGTATCTACAATTTGCCTACTTTTTTTTCTATTTATACCGCATTGGTGGGTTGTTGCTGAGGTGTGTGTGTGTGTGTGTGTTTTGCAGTACTGGGAATTGAACCATGGTCTCACATATTCTGGACACATACTCTACCACTGAGCTACATCCTCAGCCCTGTTGGATCCTTTTTAAAAAACACGAGGTCCAGGTGTGGTAGCATATACCTGTAATCCCAGTAACTCAGGAGACTAAAGCAGTGAAGCAGGACGATCACAAGTTCAAGGCCAACCTTGACACCTTAGCAAGACACTGTCTCAAAATAGAAAATAAAAAGGACTAGAGATGTAGCTCAGTGGTAAAATGCCCCTGGAATCAATCCCTAGTACTAGGGGAAAAAAAAAAAATTATACAGTAAAATATATATATAAGAACATGTTTTTCTTCTGGATGTCAGTTTACTCATAGTTCTTTTGTTGTTGTTTTTAGATACACGTGACAGTGTATTTTGACATGTAGTACATATGTGGAGTATTATCTATTCCAATTAGGATCCAATTCTTGTAGTTGTACATCATGTGGAGTTACACTGGTCATGTGTTCATATGTGAGTAAAGGAAAGCTATGTCCGACTCATTCTACTGTCTTTCCTATTCCCATCCCCCTTCCCTTTATTCCCCTTTGTCTAATCCAATGAACTTATATTCTTCCCCTCCCTACCCTCCTTTATTGTGGGTCAGCATCTACATATCAGAGAGAATGTTCAGTCTTTGGTTTTTTGGTACTGGCTTATTTCACTTAGCATGATATTCTTCAGTTCCATCCGTTTACCAGCAAATACCATAATTTCATTTTTCTTTATGGCTGATTAATATTCCATTGTGTATATATACCACATTTTCTTTATTCAGTCATCTGTTGAAGGACACATAGGTTGTTTCTATAGCTTGGCTATTGTGAGTTGAGCTGCTGTAAACATGAATGTGAGTATGTCACTGTAGTATGCTGATTTTTAAGTTCTTCAGTTTAGACCAAGGAGTAGGAGAACTGGATCAAATGGAGGTTCCATTCCAAGTTTTCCGAGGAATCTCCATACTGCTTTCCATAGTGGTTGCACCAATTTGCAGTCCAACTGGCAATATATGAGAGTACCTTTCTTCCCACATCCTTGTCAACATTTATTGTTACTTTTATTCTTGATGATTGCCATTCTGACTGGAACGAGGTGAAATCTTAGAGTAGTTTTGATTTGCAATCCTCTAATTGCTAGAGATGTTGAACATTTTTTCATATATTTTTTGACCATTTGTATTTCTTCTGTGAAATGTCTGTTTAACCCCATTGCCCATTTATTGGGTTATTTGGGTTTTTTGGTGTTGAGTTTTTTGAGTTCCTTGTATATCTTAGAGATTAATGCTCTATCAGAGGTGCAGGGGGTAAAGATTTTCTCCCATTCTATAGGCCCTCTGTTGGCATTCTTGATTGTTTCCTTTGCAGTAAAGAAGCTTTTTTATTTAATACCATCCCATTTATTGATTCTGGATTTTACTTCTCATGCTTTAGGGTCTATCTTATTGAAGAAGTTAGTTTCCAAGTCAACATGAAGGAGCATTGGGCACAGGGTCTCTGGTCTAATGCCTAGGTCCTTGATCCACTTTGAGGTTTGTGCAGGGTAAGATATAGGAGGTTCAGTTTCAATCTACTACATAGGGATTTCCAGTTTTCCCAGTAGCATTTGTTGAAGAAGCTATCTTTTCTCCAATATATGTTTATGGTGCCTTTGTCTAATATGAGATAATGAATTCAGCAAAGTAGTAGGATATAAGATTAACACCCATAAACCAATTGCATTCTTGTATACCAATGATGAATCAACTGAAAGAGAAATCAGGAAAACTATCCCATTTACAATAGCCTTAAAAAAATAATAATAATAAAATACTTGGGAATCAGTCTAGCAAAAGAGGGGAAAGACCTCTACAATGAAGATACAGAACACTAAAGAAAGAAATTAAAGAAGACCTTAGAAAATGGAAAGATCTCCCATGTGCTTGGATTAGGCAGAATTAATATTTCAAAATGGCCATACTACCAAAAGCAATGTACAGATTTCATTTCTATTAAAATTTCAATGGCATTCTTCATGGATATAGAAAAAACAATTATGAAATTCATTTGGAAAAATAAGAGGCCCAGAATAGCCAAAACAATACTTAGCGAGAAAAGTGATGTAGGAGGCATCACTATACCCAGACCTTAAATTATACTACAGAGCTATAGTAACAAAAACAGCATTGTATTGGCATAAAAACAGACATGAAGACCATTGGAACAGAAGACACAAAGACATACCCATATAATTACTTATAGTTTTTATAATGACCTACATGGTCCTTTACTACATTACTTTCTTATTCTTCCTTCTCTCTCATCATTCCATTACATCGATTCCATTGCAGGGTTCTGTGTGCATTATAATCTTTATTCTGGCTCTTTCCTTTGTCTGGAACACTCTGTCCTCTAGGCATTCTTTGACTTAATTTTTCACTTGTTTCAAATCTTAGCTCAAATTTCATCTTCTTAATTAAACCTCTTGTAACTACCTGTTTTTACTACAACTTGCTGCATGCTCCTATCACAACATTCTTGGTCCTTGTCAACCTTCTCTATTCTATCCTCTTAATTTCCTTAGAGCTTACTTTCTCACGTATTGTGTATGATTTATTTTATTGAGTAGAATGAATATAAGCTGCACAAGATCAAGGAATCTTTGTCATTTGTATTCACTAATGTATACTAAGTGCTTAGAAGAATGTCTGGACATAGTGGGAGCTCAGTGAATATTTTGTTGCATGAATGATTATGCCAAGCACTGCTAAGTTCTAAGGATGCAGTGTGGAATGAGACATATTCTACTTCTATAATGACAGAAGTATAAACAGGTTGTTACAGTGCACTTGAAGTTCTCTAATTGGAGTTAACCTAAAGTTCAGTGAGAATACATCAGAGGTTCTTCAAACCCTTTCTTATAAAATCAGAGAAAAGGCTTCCCAAAAAAAGTAATTTCTAAGCCAGAATGTAAAGGATAAGTGTAAAGTGGGGAGGGCAGTTTTTCAGCTGAGAGAGTAAGAGATATAATGCGATGTGAGTATAAATATTGGGTCAAATAATAAGGGATCTATCTGTTCATTAGAAAAATAGTAGTTAGTCTGAAGGGGAGCAAGACTAGAATGGGGAAATTAGTTAAAAGTTCAGATGTAGATGGTAGTCAGAATTAAGGTAGAGGCATCTGGGATGAAAAGATGTAAATGGTTTATAATGATATTATGATAGGTCAGGTGTGATAGCACAGGCCTGTAATCCCAGGAGCTCAAGAGGCTGAGACAGGAGGATCACAAGTTCAAAGCCAGACTTCAGCAAAAACTAAGCAACTCAGTGAGACCCTATTTTTAAATAAAATACAAAATAGGGCTGGGGATGTGGCTCAGTGGTTGAGTGCCCCTTAGATCAATTCCCAGTACACCCACCACCACCAAAAAAAAAAAAAAAGATCTTAAGATAGGCTCAATGCTCAATGGGTCTTGGTCAAGGAGAGAAGAGGTTTGGGGGATGAAAAATTCACAGGCCATCCGACTTGTGGTGCTTGTGTGGATAGACATATCATTAATTGAGTAAAGAATATAGGATAACAGTTCAGTTGGGGAAAATGAAGAAAAATTCAGTGGAAACCCTAAGAAGGAAATTAGATATTTGGATCTGGAGTCCAGAAGCAAGATCTAGGTTGGACATAGAGTTTGAGGCAATAGCATATGTACTTCCTGAAATCCATAGAGGCAGGGATGTCATCTACAAACACAAATTCAAACACACCTAGCTTTAAAAGAATCTTGCATTATCGGAATTAAGTTTTTGGAGATACAACTACTATATAGATTAAAATGAGAAGCCTAAGCCATGGCACATGCTCATGCCTATAATCCCAGCACCTATGGAGGCTGAGGCAAGAGGATCTCAAGTTCAAAGCAAGCCTCAGCAAAAAAAAGCAAGGTGCTAAGCAACTCTGTGAGAACCTGTCTCTAAATAAAATACAAAATAGGGCTGGAGAAGTAGTTCAGTGATCAAGTGCCCCCAAGTTCAATCCCTGGTACCACCCCCCAAAATAATATAAAATGAGGAGCCTAATGCTAACATATATAAGACATTTGGCCACATAAGGAGACACTGAGTCAATCACTGATGCCTTCTGATATGAAGATCTGCTGACCGTTTTTAAGATTTTGTATATCTGATTTTATCTTTTTATGAAATTAAAAGAATAATAAAACATGAAGGTAAGTGGTGGTGATGGGGATATCCTCTAACACACTTCATAGTATTTTATAGTAATTGTGGTCCTGAGATGACAAGTTATGGTAAATACTAGTCTCATTTTATAATTATTTCTAGTGATGTGGTTATAAATTGCTCAAGTAACCACTGGAGTTGATGATTAATTGGGCTCTGAAGTCTAAATAGAGATGAGATGAAGGGGCTAGTACATCCTGTGCCTGTTATTCACTCTCAGAAGGAGATAGTGACATTTTGGTGGTTTTTCTGGAGGAGAAAGAACATGTTACATTTGCACAGAATGTCCTCCAAGAGTGTGCTGCTTTTATATTTCTGTTTAGCAGACTACATCAAGAGAGGAGTGTGTTTTTAGTCAAATTCTGTTTAGAAAACACTCATGAGTCCGCTTGCCAGCAAGAGCATCAGCAGCCAGCATCTTCAGCTCTTCAGAAGAGCCCTTGAAAGAAGTGCGGGCAAAGAAACACTATCCTTCTCCTAGTCATTTGAGCAAATATGGTTTAATTAATTAAAAACATGTACATCCTTCAACTATCCCTGCCAGTCTTGGCAGGGTAATTAGTTGTTCCTTTGACAAAAATGGGAATTTTTTTAAAAAATGTTTTTTATACGATACCTCTTTATTTTGTTTATTTATATGTGGTACTGAGGATCGAACCCAGTGCCTCACTGGGTTGCTAGGTTAGCAACCCCAGCCTGACAAAAATGGGGATTTCATAAAGGGAAAAATATTATTGTGTTTTCTTTATCATGGCTAACATAGCATGAATGAAATAATATGTATTATCCAGTTTATATTAGATTTTTTAAAGCTCAAAACTAATAATAGTAGACTGAAATCGGACATTATTACCTTATGTGCATATATGATTACATGATCTGTAACTTTACATCATGTACAACCAGACAAATGAAAAATTATACTTCATTTATGTATGATGTGTTGAATGCATTTTGCTGTCATGTATAACTAATTAGAACACATTAAAAAGAAAAAGGTCAAAACTAGTATTTATGACCAGAAGTAACAAGAAAATGGTTAACATAGAAGGCTAGGATTGTGGTCACTATGGTGGGAGAAAAAAGGGGTAATGTTAGGGAGTAGGTATATGGGACTTCTCATCTGTTCATAATGTTCTCTTTCTTGACCTGTATTACAGTTATACAAAAGTTTATTTTGTGATAAATCAATCTGCTATTTAAAAAACAAACGTGGCTTTTGAAATAAATATGCACATATGCGTATGAATACTAAAATGTAAAAGTAGTAATAGGGAATATTTAGATGTGCAACAAATCATAATAGATTAAAATTTTTAAATATTTGCAGCTTAAATGCCTATTGACTTCACATAAGTTAAAACAGTAAATGTGAACTAAAACTTCCACGTGGAATAATTGAAACTGGCCATCACATAGTATAGTCTTTTTTTTTTGGTGGGGAGGGTACCAGAGATTGAACTCGGGGGCACTCAACCACTGAGCCACATCCCTAGCCCTGTTTTGTTTTTTATTAGAGACAGGGTCTCAGTGAGTTGCTTAGCACTTCGCTAAATTGCTGAGGCTGGCTTTGAACTCACAATCCTCCTGCTTCTACCTCCCAAGCTGCTGGGATTACAGGCATCCGCCACCATATCTGGCCTTCACACAGTATATTATTAACATCTTCTCTCTTATTCCATCCTCAAGGCTGGGTTTTATACCAACAAAGGTACTAGATCTTTCCTCCTGCGTTTGCTGTATTAATACTTATAGGGCCTGTGTCTAATGTCAGTTGTCTTCTGCTTTAAAAAAAATAATAAAGTTATAAAAAATTCATTTGTCTTGGACTAGAGGTTTTTAAAGTTTACCTACTGTTTTGTTCAATGGATGAAAACTCCCAAGAGAAAAGTTAAATTGACAACCAAGTGTCATTCTTTTAATATATATTTTTCTAGTACCTGCCTAGTGCCTTGTTCATGGATCTATACACATTTAGATTTCTCAGCACATAAAGATTTACTTATATAATTCTGAATTAATAGTATGCCTTTGTTCACCATCTAATGAAAGATTTATTGATCTTGGGGATTGTTTGTTTTGTTGTTGTTTATTTGTGTTATTTGTTTTCCTTATTCTAACCCAATATTTCTGTGAATTTAGTTAGATATGGATATATTGTGAGATCTTTAGGAAATATGTATCTCTGGCTCAGCTTCTTCTGTTAGTCTGTAAGGTCTCCTCCCACCCTAGATTTTTACGGTGCTTTTCTTTCTATTTATTGGAAAGTTGCAAATCATTCTGGTGACAATTTATTATAAACCAAATACTTTAAAAATGTCCCAAGTTGGAGACCATTAGACATGTTCATATATTTAATGAAGTACATCTCACAATGTTAATTTTTTAATTTTATCTTTAATTCTAGGCTATACTCCAGCTTTGGCCTGTGCTCCCAATAAGGATGTGGCTGATTGCCTGGCTCTCATTTTGGCCACCATGATGCCTGTCTCATCTAGTAGCCCTTTATCATCCCTGACGTTCAATGCTATTAACCGTTATACCAACACCTCAAAAACAGTGAGCTTTGAAGCCTTGCCTATCATGAGGAATGAACCTAGCTCCTACTGCAGTTTCAACAATATTGGTGGGGAACAGGAGTACTTATACACCGACGTCGATGAGCTCAATGACTCTGATTCTGAGACCTACTGAGAGGCTAAGCAAAAGATCTAAGGAAGGAGTTCTGACACTAAAGCTGCAAACTGTGCTTTTTCAGGAAAAAAGCACTGTTATTCATATTCAACCTAAGAGGAAAGAGCGCACAGTGAGCAAATGTAAGAAATGCGATGACATTAGGAAGAAGAATTTTAAAGGCAAGTTTTGCAAAAGGAACTTCTAGATTATTGAAATAGACTTGACCAGAGGAAAACACATTGATGTCAGATTGCTTTGTGGAATTTTTAATTTGGCTTTGCAGTGCCAGAAATAATTTGGGACACTGTGCACCCTAACCTGCTTACACAAGCAACACTATTGTAAAAGAAGAGATAAGAACACTAGATTTAAAATTATCAATAAAAGTACAACTAAATTTAAAGGCAATAAAAGTTTGGTACAGTAGGCATTATGTGCACAGCAAATTGCCAAAGGACCAAATAACTTAAAGATTTTTTAATAGAATGCCATTTTGTGGAAACTGGAGTAGGTGAAATGAGACGTTACCTAAACCAAACTTCAATATTTCTGAAAATGAAGTCAAAATTTGGTTTTAAATGTGGATTTTTTTTTTAAAGAAAACATCTTGAAAGCCTTCCAATACTGTATTAAACCATGAAAGAAAGCAGATGTATTTTTGCATTTTTTCTTTTGCATAAAAATTTTAAAATTCCAATTTTTATAATATTAGAATTGAAAACCAGCTGACTGGGTGCAGTACGGGTGAAAATACTTGTGAAATAGACATGAGATGGATTGGGGTTGGGGCTGTTGGACAGATTTCAGTGGTTTGGGTTCAAAATGGAACTATTTTTGTTTAAAAAGGTAAGGAATTTCCTAGAATAAAAACTTCATGGAATCAAAAGGTAGATTATTTCACCCTATTGCAATTAAGTGGTCCTGGGGAATGAAAGTCAACTTCACTACTTTGAATGACACTGATTCGTCACTTACATTACTTTTGTACCTCCATAATGGGTTAGAGGATTTTTGTTATCATTTATTTGATCTTTGAGTTTTGAAAAAGTACAGAATCAAAAAGAAATATTCCCTTGTTATTCATAAATTAAACATCATCAAGTCTCTTGGAAGGCATTTCTGTATTAGGCAAGGTTCAGATTTGGAGTAGCATGTTGGTAACTTGTTACTCTTTGGAGGGAGAAGCACTTGCCTGCCAAATTGAAGGCTACCTTTCAAGTAACAAAAAAAGAGAAAAGGCTGACATTTGGACTAATACTTTATGTGGTTCTGATTTTACTGTAACTGTCACTTTCCCAGTAAAAATGATTTCACCTATGTAGGAGGTCTTAGGGGTCTGGGTAAAGTTCATAAATTGCAGCAAAATGATACCCAATTTTATTTTATCCTTTTGTATTGTGAAACTGGAAACTTTATGACATTGTAAATTATCAGCTGGTTTTCTGAATATAAAGTGTGAAAACACAGAACAGTATTTTGATCTATTTGATAATTTTGTGGGTTTTTTGAAAAATTAATGAGCATGTACATAGAAATAGTGACTGCTTGAATACTGTATTTACTTGCACTCTTTCAGTACATCAAGATTCCTGTATATTTTAGAGTATAATAAAACACAGATGTGAGTTGTATTTAATGAATAATGTATTTGTATCTGTGAATATTATCTAAAAAAATCTATAAAGTTTCTAGGGCATTGATTACTAGATTTTAAGCCTTTTTTCTAAAATATTTACAAAGATTATAATCATCCATTTTTCTTTATAATAAAGAAGTCATAATTAACCTTCCTAATTATTAGTGGTAGGAAGGTAAATATGCATTTTAAAGACAGTAGACTACATTTTCTATTGTACCTTTTGAAAAATAAGAAAACTCAAGAGGATTCTAAAAGTATACATATGTGTGCTTTCTCTTTCCTTTTAGGAATTCTCTTCTGAATTCCCTGAGGGAGTTTTCTAGAATCTCAGAATTGAAAGAGACCTGAGGTTCATCCAGTCTAACCTCTTAACAAATGCAGGAGTCCCTTCTACAAGGGTGATCTTTCCACCTTGAATACTTCCAGTGACTCTACCTCACCAAGCAGTCCATTCAGTTGTTGAGCAGCTCTAACTGTTAGAAAGGTCTTCCTTAGATGGAGTTGACGCCTCCCTCCTGGTAACTTCTGTCCTTGGGCTCAGGTCTGTCCTCTGAGAGAATGTTGGAAGGATGAGTCTCCCTCCCTCTGCCATGTCTTCTCTTTCACAGGTTGACTCCTTTGCTGAAGTGATTTCCGAAGGACTCATCAGACACACTCTTAGATTTACCACATCTAATGAAATCCAAGGTGTAGCTATAAAGTAACGAGTCTTTTTCATTTATATTCACACATACTAGAACTAGATCCTGCATCACAGTATGTAAATGATGCCTTTACTGAAAACATTTGAGTAATTCTTGGATTTCCTGCCCACTAGGACAACTTTTCTGTTGCTTTTTAATCACACATGTGACAGTCTGTCCCCCAACTTGTGCAACCATTTTCTCTGATACACTCTTGATGAGGGGGATTGCAGTGTACTGTTCGAGATAATATTTAAACTGCATCAGTATTTGGAATAAGGACATGAGCTACTTGAATGAGCAGACATAGAACCACAGTAAGTTTCTTTATAGTTACACCTCATGTGTCAAAAGCATTCAGGCCCTGTTCTGTTGTGTTTCTTATCTCACACAGAATGGAAAAGCCTGTTTGCTTTTTTTAACCTCTGCATGAAAGGTGACATCTGAAATCTCTGATGTGTATTATAATACCAGCTTCTACTCAGAAACAACTTGGGGAAATGATGGTAAAAGCAAAGACCTCCTTTAAAAGGACATTCAACTCAAAACAGTGCCATTTAGTTCAGAAGACCTCAAAATGTAGCTGTAAATTTGGGGTTTAATTTGGCTTATATTGGATCTTTTAAATAAAATTTTTAATGCAATTTTAAAAAGTGTCTTTTTTCTTTACATATGAGCAACTTTTCCCTTGTCTTACTGTGTAATTAGTGCTCATTTAGGACAATTTTGTTTTTGTTGTTGTTTGTACCAGGGATTGAACCCAGAAGTACTTAACCACTGCCCTTTTTATTTTGAGACAGGACCTCACTAAATTGCTTAATCTGGCTTTGAACTTGTAATCTTCCTGCCTCCCAAGTTGCTAGGATTATAGGCATGCATTACCATGTCTGGCTGTGACAAGTTATATCTTTCTTTAAGATTTAATGGCTTCTCATTAAAGCTGTGTAAGACGTTAGATGAACCTAACTGAAATTTTCAAATATATTAATTAAAAAGAAATTTGTTGCTTACCTGCTGTGTACTTGAGGGGTGAGAATGGACAGAAAGTCTAAAAATTGTGATGGTGTCCTTTAGAAGCTTACAATTTTATCAAGGAAAGAGAAAAGTAATAAAAGTATGATTGAGGTAGAAATGAATTGCTAAGGAAGATTAGAAAATAAAAAGATAAAAAATATCACTTTGAGAGGGAAGAACAGAATAGGCATCATGGAAGAGGCCACAAAGGCTGGACATCAAACAAGATTTTAGCAGGTCGAGAAGGTCAAACAATATCCTAGGTGAAGAAACCAAAACCAGAAATTTTTAAAATGATTGGTGGAGTGTCAGTTTGTGATGGAGTACATACCAGTACCTAGCATTCCTTAGCATAGAAAAAATCATGAAACTTACAAAAGAACTGGTTTAAAATATGTATAGAGATTAGATAATAGAAGTAAGAACCCATAGATATAAATAGGTGATTGGAGGGGCAGGTGAAAAGAACTCTAATTACTTAAAATCATCTCTGTGCAAGTAATAATATGAAAATGCCTATACAGCATTTATGATGTACCAGGCAAGGTTGTAAATGTTTGAAATACATTATCTCTTAATCCACACAAGTGTCTTATGAGGTAGGTACTATTAATAACACCATTTAACAGATGAAGAAAGAGAAATAATTAACTTGTACCTAAGATCACCTGGCTGGTAATTTGTGAAACTAGACAAATCCAAGTAGTTGTTTCCATAGTCTGTTTTTAAGCTGCTGACGACTTCTCACAGGCTTTTTGGTTGAAATTGGTCATTTTGAAGTTGGGACACATAATCGACTACTAAATTATATAAGTTCCTTCTGTTTTATTCTCTGAGGTTACTGTCTTTAGAAGAAACACAAATCTGACCACAACAGATGTTCATTGAATACCTGCTGTGTACCAGGAATTGTTCGAGGCTCTAGGCATACAGTAGTAGAGCAGGAGTCTTAGCTCATCCTCAAAGAACCTACTTATGTTTCAGTTGCTGTCTAACCACCTGCATCTCAATTGCCTAAAATAATCATTCTCACTCATGCCTTTGCAGGTTGGCTGACATAGGCTTATCTGAGTGACTCTGCTTCAAGGTGGGGCTTTGCCACCCGTTAGAAGGTGGACTTCAGTCTGCTCCATCTGTGCACATCCTTGGACCTGGGCTGAAGTACAAAAGTTATACAGAAGCTCTCACGATCATGGTAGGAATCAGGAAGGCAAGCTTGACCACACACCAACATGGTTTGTACCTCTGTGTGCATCACCTCTGCTGATGACTTTGCTGGCCGGAGCAAGTCATGTGGCCAAGCCAGTCTCCATGGGGTGGGGCAGTATTCTTTACCATTTGGGGGAGGATAGTTTGGGTTCAGTTTCCACAGTTTACATAGCCCTGAACTGAGCCAACCAGTTTGTTGCTGTTTTCAGTTTTTTCATGGGCATGCTCAGTAGTCTTTCTTTGTGCCTGTTCCTACCCTTTTTGTGCTATTCTTCTAGTGTGGGTGGTCCAGATATAAAGCATGATAGCAAAAATGTATTTTGAGTTGGAAAGATCATTCTTGGCAGTGCAGGACTGACTGATCAGTTAGTTGTTGAATCTGCTCTTTTCCTAAGGTAGAGGACCGACCTCTTGTCCACTTCGGTCTCCAGAAGAAAGTAACATCAGTCCCCTCTCTGGTGTCTTTAACTGTGGCCATCCCTCCAAAGCAGATCCTGCTCTAAAGGAAGATGGTAAGGTTTGGCCAGTGACTACTTGTTAAGACCAAACAAAACAAAAAATGCTGATAATATAAAATTGTATGTTCTGTCTAGATCATTTCTTCCATCCCTCTGCTTCATTCTTCTTTTGTGCTATTTATCATTTCCTTGTGGTTATCCCCTCTTGATTTTGTCTGCTATCTTAATGAGAACTGAAATACAGAAAAAGTTAATTTGAGAAAGTAGTAATTCTTTCTCTCTTTATCCTTTTTCCCCTTACTGAGATTTAAACCCAAGTATGCTCTACCACTGAGCTACATCCCCAGTTCTTTTTATTTTTTTATTAGTGAGTCTCACTACCTCACTGAGGGTCCTGCTAAGTTCCCCAGGCTGGCCTTGGACTTACTTTCTTCTTGCCTCAGCCTCCCAAGTTGCTATAATTATAGGCATGCACCCCCATACCTGGCTCTCTTTGCCCTTCTCTAAACTTTCTTTAAATTAAATTTTCATTTTTGAAGCCTGTTTATTCCTTCAATAAACATTTCTTAAGCACATGCTCTGTGGCAGGCACTGTTTAAATATACTGGAGATACCCTGGGGACCTAATGGGATGAACCAGATAAAGTCCCTACCCTTGGGACACTTACATTTCAGTCAGGAATACAGACAAGATGATTCCAGGTGATTGTTAGGCAGAGAAAGATGACAGTAACTGAGAACTGTTTGGGTTCTAGTGTTTGGGAGAGGTCCTTGAGGATAAAACGATGGCTTGTGTTTATGCATTATAGGATTACACAAACACATTTCTGATGGAAGATGAAATGATTTTTTGCTAAGTAGAGTGTTTGAAGTAACAGACTAATAAAAGCAGGAAAGGACAGATGAGATGCTGAGCTTATTCACCAAAGCAAACCTGAGGATTCTGAGTGAGGTTAACCCAAGTACATATAATAAGTTAACCCCATAATCATTTGTCCTTTGACTAGAAAGGAGGACTGGTTTATTGGTTTAAGCACCAGTTTCTGTCACTGAGACAGCAGGACTTGGCATATGTGAAAGAAAAGTTACTTGTGCTTCTAATGTTTTAAGTCTCAAAAGGGAATGCTGAAATTCAAGAGAATGTGAATGAAGGAATTCAAGGAGAAGGTGCTACTGGAGGAGAGCTTTGTCCCTCCCTGCACCTGAGTAGCCAGTGTATGTGTTAAGGACATGGAGGAAAAAGGACCTCAGCTGCCTGCAGTTTAGTGATTAAGAGGAAAACACCTAAAACACCATAAATAGTCAGAAGTTTTTCCAATGATATCAGTGAAAATGACAGAGTAAGAACCTCAAATTTTGCCTTGCCACAAAAATAATGATAAACTAGTAAAAATTTTCAGAATTGGACCGGGGTTATGACTCAGTGGTAGAGTGCTCATCTCACATGTGTGGGGCCCTGAGTTCCACCCTCAGCACCACATAAAGATAAATAAAGGTATTATGTCCATCTACAACTAAAATATATAGATATTCAGAATCTACTTTCACAGAAGTCTTGCACCTTAATGGCTGTCAGCAACCTTAAGACATTCATTTAAGAAAAACTTGAGAGACTGGGTTTATAACTTAGTGATAGAGCACTTGTCTATCATGTGTGAGGAACTGGGTTCAATCCTCAGCACTTCCTATGAATAAATATTTAAATAGAGTGTCCATTGACAACTAAAATAATATTTTTAAAAAACTGTTAAATATCTATAAAAATGGTCGTGGCATTTTAATTTGCACTAATTACATCTCTTACTCTCCAGCTCTGTAGTAGCTTTGAAAACCAACAACTCACATTCCTGGTATAGCATAGCAGCCACTAATGGGAGCAAAACAAAGTTAGACCTCTTTCACAGTCTGATTCCCAAATGTACCTCATTCCCATTCCCTTTCATTTGTGTGCCTCATTCAAATTCTCATTCTCATTCATTGGTCAATGCATCTAACAACAGAGCATTAAAATGTGTGATGTGCTGGGCCCAGTAGCATGGGCCTATAATCCCAGCTACTCAGGCTGAGGCAGGAATATCACTTGAACCTCAGACTTTTTAAAGACTTCGTCTTTAAAAAAAAAAAAATAAAGTGATTCAAAACCTAATACAACTGCAAGGAGAAATATATGAATATACTTTTATAATTGGAGATTTCCATATCCCTCTTATCAGTAATGGAGATAAAAATCAGTAACTCATCATCACCAACTGTACTTAATGGACATCTATAAACACAGTAGCAAAATATACATTGTTCTGAAGCTCACATGTAACATTCTCCCATAAAACACATTCTGAGCCATAAAACACACTTCAACAAATTTTAAAAGGGTAGAAAGCATACACTACCTGCTCTCAGACCATGATGGAATTAAATGAGAATAAGAGCTCAAAATATTGAAGATTAAATAGCATTTTTAAATACAACAAGTGTCAAGGAAGAAATCTTGAAATTTTAAAATAATTGAATTGAGTGCTGGGGGTATATATCAGTCATAGAGTGCTTATTCAGCATGCACAGGCCCCGAATTCACTTCCCAGCATCACAAAAAAAACTAAATGAAAAACTCATCATAATTTGTGGGATGTCACAAAAGCAGTACTTAAATAGAAGTTCATGGCATTGAATGCATATATTAGAAAATAAGGAGGATTAAAATCAGTTTCCTGGGCTGGGAATGTGGCTCAAGCGGTAGCATGCTTGCCTGGCATGCACAGGGCGCTGGGTTCAATCCTCAGCATCACATAAAAATAAAATAAAGATGCTGTGTCCACCAAAAACTAAAAAATAAATATTAAAAAATTCTCCCCCTCCCTCCCTCCCTCCCCCCCTCTCCCTCCCTCCCTCCCTCTCTCTCTCTCTCTCTCTCTCTCAAAAAAAAAAAAAAGTTTTCTAAGCATCTACTGAGGAACCTAGAGAAAGAA